TGGCCAAAACTAGAGACTGGCGATGATAGGAAGCCTGGGGAGAGCATGGTGTAGAAGGGGAAAGGGAATGGCATGAAAGAGCTGATCCAGGGAAATGAGTAGCCTGGGCTGAATTTATTCACTTTGAAAGTATTGCACTCGGTGTCTCTGAGTTAGACATCACCAAGTCTGGTGCTTCATTGAGCATTTTATAATCTTACGGATTCTCTTTCTAAGGATAAAGAATTACATGCTCTCCCCATTTTTCAAACTGCACTTGTGATACTCCACTAGAATAACGTAGGTTAAATCACCTTTGAAGACAACACCAAAAATGTGAAGCAGTAATTTGTTTTTATTTATTTATTTATTTATTTGAGACAGAGCCTCAAGCTGTCCCCTGGGTAGAGTGCTGTGGCATCACAGCTCACAGCAACCTCCAACTCCTGGGCTCAAGCGAGGCTCCTGCCTCAGCCTCCCAAGTAGCTGGGACCACAGGCGCCTGCCACAACCCCTGGCTATTTTTTGATTGCAGCCGTCACTGTTGTTTGGCCGGCCCAGGCTGGATTGGAACCCGCCACCTTGGGCGTATGTGGCTGGCGCCTTAGCCACTTGAGCCACAGGCACCAAGGCTGACACAGTAATTTACTGATGTGCAAAATTAGACTTGCACCATGGGACAATTAGCACTAATCCATGAAACTTGGGTGCAAATTTGGCTGAAGCCTCCATTCAAGTCAAACTGGCTTTCAACTATTTGAGATGTTCCTTGGTACTTTCCTGTTTACACATTGGCACAAAAGGCTTTGGCTTTAGACCACAGAGAGAAGGAAGTAAAGCAAAGCTTTAATTCTCAGCTTTCTCAGACAGAAGTGTCCATGTGAGACTTTTAACTTAGTAGTTAACATTTATTAAAAACTTAATATCTCATAGGTATTCTTTTAAGTGCTTTGATTGTATTATGTATCTTTAGTTGTCACAACGATCTTATGAAGTAGTTTTTATATTCCTTATTTAGCAGATGGGAAAACGGAGACCCACAGATATTAAGCAAATCATTCAAGATCACAGAAATAGTAAGTGGCGAGGCTAGGATTCTACTTTTGCTTGGTCTACATTATGCCCATGTTAAAAAAGTATTACTGTATCTTTACTGTAGAAAGTACTGAGTGATATGGAGAGACTGAAATTACATTGAGTTATATGTATACTGTAGAAGTACAGTTAGCAGGTACTACATATGCAGCTGAATTTGTAAAACTTGTTCTTTCTGCCCTACTGACAAAGACACCAGTGGAAGATTCATTTCCTTTCCTGGCATATCAATGAAAGACCAGTTTGTCTCCATTGTTATTGCTACTCTTTCCAAATCAAGAGGAAATTTCTAGTAACTTAACCACTAAGTTGTAAGTGACTTCTGTCTATTTTAGATAAACTTATTCAGTATCATACACTCACACATGCCATTCAGTAGATTATTCATGGATTGCAAAGAATTAGTGATTTAATATTGAAAGAGTTACCTAAGACTTGGGAGTATCAAGGGAATTTTGGTTAAATATGGGATAATGACAGCATTACCAGGGCATTGTGGTTGGTCTGTTAGGGTTTTGAAAATGAAAGTTATTTTTAGGCCAGACATGGTGGCTCATACCTGTAACCCTAGCACTCTAGGAGGCCGAGATAGGTGGATCGCTTGAGCTCATGAATTCAAGACCAGCCTGAGGAAGAGTGAGACTTTGTCTCTAACAAAATAGCTGGGCACTGTGGTGGGCTCCTGTAGTCCTAGCTACTTGGGAGACTGAGATAAGAGGATTGTTTGAGTCCAAGAGTTTGAGGTTGCTGTGAGCTATGACACCATAGCACTCTACCAAAGGTGACAAAGTGAGACTCTGTCTCAAAAAAAGAAAAAAAAGAAAAGAAAATTATTTTAAGGGCACCTTTCTTCCTCCTGCTAAAAATAGAAGATATATAATATTTAAAAAATGGAAGATATGTTTCAAAGAATAAAGAAAGCAAAACCCCTTCCTAACTTGCAACTTTAGTATATTTTTCCTTTAATGCTTCTTTTGGCAGACTCTGCTGATTCTAGGAAATGCAAAAGGATGGCAATGGTAAGATGATAAAAAATCTGGTCAAATGGCCAGAGACAGGCAGAGTATTCCTCGCTAATCCCTGTTTTTCTCAGCAATAGCCCTCTGGATTTACGTAGCCTAAATTTAAGCAACGTTTAAATTCCTTCCTTTGGGAATCTCTTTAATGTCCTGCTGAAAGTTGCTTTTCAGTAAAAATTTGCTTCCCAACCTTTCTCTTCAGAAATATCTCTATTATAGATATAATATCATAAATATATTTAAACTTTTAAACCCAACTCCTGGTGAGTTTACTCAATGTCTTCGATACTTATTTGTATGATTTTTGAACAAAATAAAAATCAAACTTAAAAACCCTATACCCTTAGTCCATTTGGAGTCTATCTTTTGATGGTATCTGTAGAACGTCATGATGTTTCTTTTTTATTATTTGAGTGAAGACATTTTTGATTTTAAAAACTGGTTGAAGTGGAGTTAGCATGAACCTTGAATCAACAGGAGGTTGAAATGGATGGAGAGATCAGACATAGCCACCACCAGGGTAAATCAAACTTGGTTTACTTATCTAAAGGTTACAGACGGAAGTTGCCACTGAGAGACTGGCATGTCCTCTGACAACAACTGAAGTGTAGGTTTCTGAGTTCTTCATGGGAGGCCTCACTGGTGGAATTGAGGATAGTAGATCTTCATGAATGAAGTCATGTCAGGACTTTGGGAAATCCAACTCCTCTCTCAGCCTAATATCTCTCTCTATAAAGCTGGAAACACCTTGTTCATAGTTGGTCTAGATAGATATGGGGGACTGCTTCATCTGGGCCTGGAGTACCTCCTTAATCTTGAAGTTTTATAATATAAAATACGACGACAGTGTTTGGTATGGTACAGTACACCCAGGCATGAACGTCTCCCTACTTTCTCACCTCAGCCTCTTCAGGCTAACACAGCTTGGTCCCAGCACTTCTTTGAAAATAGTTTTCTTGCCCCAGTGCCTCTGGGAGTCATGGTAACATGCACTCAGACACATAGAATTGGTTGTATTACCCCAGGTAGCAATTTATTAAGTTAAATAAAGCTCTAATTCAATTATGTGTCATCATGGGAAAATATTGGCTTACCTTCTTTTCCTGTTGGAAACTTAAGGAGTGCTAAATGTTAACATTTCAAGGACGTTTAAAGAGTTTCTTTTACCCAATATCTTGTAACAATGGTGAGAGAAGACGAAACACTTTTTCACACAAATGCTTGGGTGAGTGACAATAGTTTGAGCAGATCCCTTGGCAAAGTATTTGCTAAATTTGGCTTTCCTCCTCTCTTAAATTATATGACTTAAACAATTTACAGCCGGGTTGTATCATTGTTAACATTGCTTTGTAGGGAAATCAAGTCTCATCTTTTCTTAGACAATCTTGAGTGATCGCTTATCAAAATCATATTCAAATTTTAAAATTAGCCGAAACTTTGCCTCCACTCTAAAATTCACCTTATTCTCTGCAATTCCAAACATGGGGCTTCTACCTGTAGTGAGCAACTATTATGTTCTCCTTGACTACTCTGTGAATTCCATCAGGACAAAACAGGAAGCCACTTGAATGCAGGGATCCTATTTTATTCCCTTTTAATCCCTCCCAACCCATGTACAGTGCTTTCCCCACATTGTTTCAATTAACTTTTGGTATACAAATTTGAGTCTTTCTGTTTTAGGCAGGGTCTCTCTTTCAAACCTAGGCTAGAGTGCTATGGCGTCCTCATAGCTCAATGCAACCTCCAACTCCTGGGCTCCAGCAATCCTCCTGCTTAAGCCTCTAGAGTAGCTGGACTACAGATATGTGCCACCCCCCACCCCCCAGGTAATTTTTCTATTTTTTGTAGAGACAGGGTCTTGCTCTTGCTCAGCCTGGTCTCAAAACTCCTGACCTTAAGCAATCCACACACTTTGCCTCCCCAAATACTAGGATTACAGGCAGAAGCCACTGTACCCAACTGGAGAAAATCCTCTTCAATTGGTGGAAATATCATGTGTGCCCTCTGGAAAAATCACTCTAAGTTCTATAATCTATATTTAAACTCTGCAGATGTAGAAATTGGGCAAGACCAGGGGCCCATTATCCGCCCTCTGTAACAATTTCTCAATTGGGTGTTCTCGCCGCTGGTATTGTCCATTCTCTTTATTGACTCACACAAAAAGCTTGGGCCTTGAACTCCTTGAAGTTATTTTATTATATTACGTCAGGTTTTTCTGAATATACCTTGTTAGCACAGTGCCTGACACAGAGTATCATAGGTGCTTAATAGCTGTTGTTGAAAGAAATAATTAATGAAGCTGGTTATTTTAGATAAAAATACTTTGATGTCTTAAAATGGTCACCTTTTTTCAGCATTTGTTTTCACTGAGATACGTGGAATATCTACGTATTTGAAAGAGGTTGTAAAATGGCTCCATTAATCATCCTGTTCAGATTATATGACCATCCAGGAGCATAGAAATACAGAGATAGACTGGTAAGAATATAGAATACAAGGCTAGGTGTAACAGGGAAGGCCAAATTTTGGACGCATCATGAGAAGAGTCAAAGAGGCTCATGGACCCTCCCTGGGCAGCTGTAATCATGATGGTGGGTGGGTGATGTTGTGAGGAGTGCCTACTGTTCCTGCCTCTCTGTGATTCCTGCCCACGGTCAGCACAAGGCTCATAGGGGCTATTGCAACACCATGGAAGGTCCTGGTCTGTGAAGCCACTTGACTAACCCTTGACATTTAACTTTCTTTTCACTCCTGACAATGCTCCCAAACATCTCAGGAGGTAGAGGGCTCTTGCATCTATCTGCCCTGTCACTAAGGGGCCTTTAATCTGTTTTAGCATGAAAAATTCATTAAGAATGTGCTATTATTTCATCAGTGAAATCCTCAAATTTTAAATTAAATCCATAGGTCTGGTTTAGCAACCGCCGTGCAAGATGGAGGAAGCAAGCTGGGGCCAATCAACTAATGGCTTTCAACCATCTCATTCCTGGAGGCTTCCCGCCCACGGCAATGCCGACTCTGCCAACATACCAGCTGTCGGAGACCTCTTACCAGCCCACGTCTATTCCACAAGGTACAGAGGAAGAGAGTCAAGGAGATTAAAATGGGACTTCCAATTGCTTTTTCTGGTGGATATTTTATACAAGTGAAATCTTTCCCCAATGCTGACATCAATGTTTGTATGTTAATTATATGACATTGGGTTGTCCTGAAAGTACCTGTCACATTTCAGAAACATAGTTTCTTCTATGACATATCTGAATCTCTCTAGATAAACTGTGTTGTAATATAATACCACTGCAGTACTTTGAAACAAAACCAGCCTTCCTAAATAAACACAGTATTTGCTTGTCTTCTGTTAAAATTTAACCTCTACATTTGTACTTCAGTTTGAAACTAGCTGAACTTCAGTGATGTTTTTAAGTCTAGTAGTAATAGAAGGAAGGTTAGCATTGATAAAATCACTGTGAGCATATAGGAGTGAATAGGATGTTAAATTTTTAGACTGCATTATCTGGGAATATGAAAAATAGCATTCCAGGCATTTGAAACTACAGAGGGTGCCAAAAATATGTATACACATTTTCAGAAAGCAAAAAACAATATTAAAATTCTACTACTCAATATAAAGTGATAACAAAAGTTGAATACTAGTCACGTTGATCATGTCTTATAATTGCAAAAGTCAACCATGACTTGAATATTACAATTATACAATTTTTTCCTTTCTTTAAGGCACCCTCGCTACACTTATCATACTAATATTTAGATGCTTTAAAAGTATATTTAATAACAAACTCGAGACTTACAATCCTTTTATTGGTTGTGATATTGGTTAATTCTCACACTGATTAATAACATACTACCAAAATACACTTGTTAGCACTTGTTAGTGAGTGTGTGCTAGAGAGTCCATACACATGGTATGTACTTTCAAATGTGCACAGATAGATGTGAAATGCAGTTAGAAGTGAAGATGTGATCTTATCAATAGATACTCCTGCTGGCTTGGTGACTTGTGAACTTTCGCATTGAACTTTCTCTGCTGGCCCACAGAGAAACTCAGTGGCTGACAATCGTTTTCATTTCAGCCGTATCGGACCCCAGCAGCACCGTTCACAGACCTCAACCGCTTCCTCCGAGCACCGTACACCAAAGCACTATTCCTTCGAACCCAGACAGCAGCTCTGCCTACTGCCTTCCCAGCACCAGGCATGGATTTTCCAGCTATACAGACAGCTTTGTGCCTCCGTCGGGGCCCTCCAATCCCATGAACCCTGCCATTGGCAATGGCCTTTCACCTCAGGTCAGTCCCGTGTTTCTAGACAGACCATTTGCTGTATACCAGAACCAAACAGTCAATTCCCCCAGGCAGTCGTGTAATGAATTGCCAAATTTAAACCATAATGTATTCTTTATACAAGCCACATGATTTCAGTTTTCTGGTTTCCTTTCTCTTCACCCTTCCTGCTGGCTGCATCAAAAGTTGTAGCTCAGAATTTAAACTTCACGTGATTTTGGGTGTCATGGCACAGACTTTGTTTTAGAGTTCATTGTTAAGGTGTTTGTCACGTGTCGTCTTCTCCATCCTAGTTCTGGACTTTGGTTAAGAAACTCACAAACATTGGTGTTTATTTTTTTTT